AATCAGTGCTCAAATATATAAGATTAACGGCCAGCAGATAGGGGTATAAGTGGTTGCTTCGATAGCAATTCGCACTTTGCACTTTGCGATTCGCAATTTGCGCTCGTCACTTTCATTCTGTGGTGCGAAGATGTACGAAATTCCAATACCTCCGGCGGTGCTATCAACCACAAATTTCATGGAAGTTGAAGTTGAGAGTTCAACTATGGCAACTGTTACGGTGGATAAGCATGCGTTGCTTGTGGCCAAAATTGTGGCTATGGTGTGGTATTGTATTGTGGTGACTGTGGTCTGTGGCAGTTTACCCTACATGCTGGATCGTTGCCTGGAATGGACTAAAAAAGATCCCGAAGAGACGCGCGCTTCGACTGCGGTGCGCTGTCTGCTCTACTTTGGTGGTGGTGTCTTGCTTTGCACCACATTTCTCCACATGTTGCCGGAAGTGATAGAAGTGGTTGAGCTATTGCAGCACTGTGGCATATATCTACAATAAGCTATATATATTTATAAATACATATCAAATTGGTATATAAAATAAGTTAAGTTGCAGGTAATTTGCAATTGGAGTTCATTTCAACGATCACAACTTGCTGGTGGCGAAAATTGTGGTTATTGTGGTGCTGTTGGTGGTCACATTAATTTTTTGCTTTCTGCCCTATGTGCTCAACCGTTGGTTCAAATGGACGCAGCGGGCGAAGAGCAATGCACGCGAGTTTCTGGCTGTCCTTTGCCTATTGAATTTCGGTGGCGGTGTCCTTATTGCCACAACATTTATACACATCCTGCCGGCTGTTGTTAGTGTTGTGGGTGCCCTGCAAAAGTGTGAGATGTTGGCTAACACGCCGTTCGCCCTGCCCGAGATGCTGATGTGCACGGGTTTCTTTCTGATGTACGCCATCGAGGAGCTCATGTACTTTATTGTGGGCAGGCGACAGAAGCGTAAACAGAAGGCCATCCAAGAGGCGCTGCAAGTGGCCATGGAACAAGTAGCCGAACCGGAGGAAAAGGTCGAGCTGGAGTTGGGCGAACAAGTCGAACCGGAGCAGCCGAATTGGCTGCGTGGCCTGGGCATCATTGTGGCCCTCTCGCTGCACGAACTCTTTGGCGGCATGGCCATTGGCCTGGAGGAGACCGTGGATACGGTCTGGTTTATGTGCGCTGCCATTGCAGTCCACAAGCTCGTCTTAGCCTTTTGCATTGGCATGGAGATTATGATGGCCCACACACGTTGGCTAATTGCTGTCATTTATCTAATTGTCTTCTCCATCGTCACGCCCATTGGCGTGGGCATTGGCATTGCGATCACAGAGAATACCAGCGCGAATCATCCGAGCATTCCGGCGGGCATCCTACAAGGCATCGCCTGCGGCACCCTGCTCTATGTCGTCTACTTTGAAATTGTGGCCAAGAATCACGCGGGCTGGCGCATATTTCTCTGCTCTCTTGGCGGCTTTCTGCTCATGTTTGGCTTGCAAATTGGAGGTAAGTTTGATTAAAGATGAAAATTGATTTGACTTCTGCTAACAGCTTTCTATATCCTCCTCAACAGTTGTTGAAGCTGCTGGCAAATCTGCATATGTTTGCCCCTCGAATAAGAGCTAAAATAATGGGCTTAAAACTTATACGATTTATTCTAACATTCAAAACTTCAATCAAAGCTTTATGGAAGAGCTTTTACTCTTGCTTAAGGTGCTTTGTTTGAAATTAATCGAAAAGCTGAGCTCAGTGAGCTCCATTCATAAACTCTATCCCGATTACATTATTTCTTAATATTTTCTTGACTTAAAATTATATTTTAAATATATTTTAAATATATAATAAAATAAATATTATTTTAAAATTCAAGAAAAATTTGAAGAAAAAATATATTTACAAATTTTTTCATATGGAAAAATTACAAAATAAAATCAAATATTTTTCTTCAAAATGTCGTCACTTTAAATTTTCCTCAGTGTAGTGAATCTCTGTCATTAATCTTGCAAATATAGATCAGTAAATTCTTATTTGAACAAATTAAAGTTTCAATATCGTTTTGAACAATTAAAGTGAAAACGTTACATAAATTAGCAACAAAGTCAAAGGGGACAAAAAAAAATGGTCTGAGAATACGCCTATTTAATTTATTTCCCAGACGATTATAATTTCTGGTGTCAATCAGTGCTCAAATATATAAGCAGATAGGGGTATAAGTGGTTGCTTCGATAGTAATTCGTTTGCACTTGTCACTTTCATTCGGTGGTGCGAAGATGTACGAAATACCAATACCGCCGGCGGTGCCATCAACCACAGCAAATTTCATGGAAGTTGAAGTTGAGAGTTCAACTATGGCAACTGTTACGGTGGATAAGCATGCGTTGATTGTGGCCAAAATTGTGGCTATGGTGGTGCTAATTGTGGTGACTGTGGTCTGTGGCAGTTTACCCTACATGCTGGATCGTTGCCTGGAATGGACTAAAAAAGATCCCGAAGAGACGCGCGCTTCGACTGCGGTGCGCTGTCTGCTCTACTTTGGTGGTGGTGTCTTGCTTTGCACCACATTTCTCCAGATGTTGACGGAATTGATAGAAGTGGTTGAGCTATTGCAGCACTGTGGCATATTGGTGGCGACACCTTTTGCCCTTCCCGAAATGCTGATGTGCACAGGATTCTTTTTGATGTATGCCCTGGATGAAGTGATGCATGTGTTTATGCAGCATCATCAGCACAAGCTGAGCCGAAAGGAATCGCTGGCCAGTGAAGCCTTCGAGCGTGGTCACAGCATTCGGCATAGCATATTGCTGCGTAGCACACGACGCAAACCGGATGAACTGCAGGCGAGTAAAGAGGAGCATCAACATAGCGATCACGAGCTGCCGGCAGCGAATGGACATGGACACAGTCATGTGCCCGTGGATACCAATGGCTCCTCAATGCGCGGATTGGGCATTATATTGGCCTTGTCGCTGCACGAACTCTTTGAGGGCATGGCCATAGGCTTGGAGGGCACTGTGGCAACAGTTTGGTTCATGTTTGCCGCTGTGGCCGCCCACAAATTGGTGCTGGCTTTCTGTGTGGGCATGGAGCTGCTGGTGGCTAGAACCCGTGCTTCCCTGGCCATCATCTATCTCGTAACATACTCGATTGTTACGGCTATTGGCATAGGCATTGGCATTGGCATCAGTCAGCAGGCAAATGCGAATCAGCCGAGTGTCCCTTCTGGCATATTACAGGGCATTGCCTCCGGCACGTTGCTCTATGTCGTCTTCTTTGAGATTCTTACACAGAATCATGCTGGTTGGCGTGCTTATTTAGCTGCCCTGGTCGGCTTTGCTTTAATGTTTGGACTGCAAATACTTTGTAAGTGAAATGATAAGTTGGAGATTCCGCTATTGGCTTTTGATTGACATACGCATGCCTTTAGTTATCATTAGTTATCATTAATGATATTTACTGCTAATGCAGGAGAAATTTATTGATTAACTATGCCACTCTATATTATATCTTGCAGCTGACGAAGCGGAAGGGGCTGATAACGACTCATGTTACTAGCGTGAACTCCAGTCAATGAAAAATTATGAATTATATTATATTTATTTAGTTATTATATACATTTTTTATTATATGTGCTAGCATCAAGCCATGTCGATTTATTAAATATTTTATATTATCAAATCAAGTGCCATCAAACACATATATAATCTATTACTAAATCAATAAATAATATATAAAAATCTTAAATTGCGCGCGCTTAACAACTCTATTTTCAGTGTGTGTACACACTGTCTGACAGCTATTAAATTAACAGAGCCTGAAAAAGCGCTAAACCAGTGATTGCAAGCTAACAGTGGCGCCGCTAGAGAGAAAACTTTTAAAATAAACTGTTATAAATATAATTCGAACTATTTAAAGCGTATAAAATATATAATCCAATAATTTATTTGCATACCTTAATTACAATTTATTAACTTAAGTATTGCACTAGTATTCTATCTTATATTTATTTTTAATGTTATTATATTATTTTTAATGTTCATTTGCATTTACTATAGCAATCAAAGCTCATAAAGCAACAATACGAATGAGCAACCGTTTTAATATCGCATTCTGCTTTGGTAAAATATTCATAAAAAAAAGCCAACAATGTAACTGTTTTTATGGTTCATTCTCTCGCCGCTGCGCTCAGTAGCAACAGCAATCCATTTCGGCCCTTGTGCACAGGTCAGCAATTTGCCTCTGCAACAAAGTTGTGTAGTGTGACGTCACTCTTAAAAGGACTTATATTTAGCTTCATGCTGTGACTTCATACGTATCACAAGACATCGCAATCTTCATATTTTGCCACAGACTACATTAATTCAAGTAGGTGAAAAAGAGTACAATAGATTACCTATAGAGCAAAAAGAGACAGCAAGCTGCACTTGCTTTTCCTTACTATTTATTGTCAAGTAATTAATGACTTGTTTCTCATAGAAAATAATTAATATGAATATTTACTTACCATATATGAGGAATATACTTAATTTAGGTCTAATGTGTTTCAAGAAATACGCTTTATTCTAATAAATTGGTGAAATACTCAATAATTTTTACCACTTTGAATTAATAATTATTTTATTCATTTGTTCACATAACTGGGTCTTGCAATAAATTACAAACTGCACCTCATCAATTATGCTTCTTCACTAATATATATTTTTATTCAAAATAAAGTAAATTACCAATCGCGCGACTCTGATGCTGTTCAAAAACCGCGAAAATCAAAAATAAAAACACATTCATACATACATATCCGAGCACAATCAAACGCGAGGGAACGTATAACGACTCAGTTGTGTACGACATAAAAAACGAGCAGAGAAAATAAGCTCGTGAGCGATGTGGCATCTCTATAATCTATTTACTTAAATTACTCAGAGCGTAAAACATTTTACAGTGCGTTGTGAGCAGAACAGCGGGCTAGCAGCTGCATTTGAGTATAACATTGAGTTAACATCGCTGCGCTCAGAACAGTTCATAGTTGTGGAGACGAATGGTCGTGTGTGCGGAGAAAAGTAAATTTGAAAAAAGAAAACTAAAGAAACACTCGTAAAAATTTTGCCCCAATAACTTTCGTGTAGACGTGCTAAGTTATAAATTAAACAAAAACCGACTGGTTTGCTACAGCCCAATTAAAGTCTTCCCAATAAATTTGTGCAAGTGAATTAAACAGCTGTACGTGACTCCCTTTTTCCCTCTCACACATTGTGTGTGACTCTGCGTAAGTGTGCGTGCATGAGTGCCTGTGGGTGCATTTGTTTATTCCAACCGCCAAATACGATTTCTTGCTAGAACTTGCCTCGCGTTGCGTTGCTGGGCGGTGCTGTCATTACCCCACCCACCCCTCATTAGCACATTGTGCAAAAAATAAAGAAAATCGAAACTCCCGCACATAAACTGGATGATGAGTAGCAACGACAAAACGAAAACAAAAACAACGGTACACAAAGGAAACTGAATTAAAGCATAACAAGAAATTGCGGTTAAATACTTGACACGAATATTTATTCAAAATAGACCAAAAACTTTGTAAATATATAAATGTGTGTGTTTTTGTACTTTTACATAACGAAATTCGCGTCGCACAACATTGAAAATAACTGTTTACCAAATAGTTAAGCAATTTGTATACAAAAAATAAATAAAAATAAACGAAAATAAATAAAAAAACACAAAACCCAATTTGAGCTTAAACTTAACTGTAAACATATTATGCACATTGTTTTTACGTCTTGTGCCCACTGTGCCGAGCTGTAAACATATTCAAGAGCAATATACAAAAGTGCTTCACATTTGGCTGGATATTTAAAAACAAAAAAAAATAAAAATAACAGAAATCGTCATTCGAGCTAAAATGTAAACTGTATAAGTTTATAAATTGAACAATAACAAAAAAATGGTTGTAATTTAGATAATATACAATTCACGGACTCGGAAAACGAATTGAACTTGATTTGAAAATAGGTGCGTAAAAGTTGATTTTAAAAACTATTTGTTGTTGTAATTAACACTTAAATAAATACACAGTGCTTCTCGTTTGGAAATAACAAAAAGTAGGACAGAAACTTGTGTTTAATAAAATACTATAAAATAAATACTAAATACTTAGAAAACATTGTTATTTTTTTAGCATTTTTTAAGCCAAATACTTATGAATATTAAAATTTGGCAAAATGTCTCAAAATTCATAATAAAAGAATAAAATATCTGTACACAAAATATCTCAAATGATATCTGTCGTCGTCTCATTGACCTTCTCTAAAGTATACAACACTTCCACATACGTAAATATTCTGTGACTTTTTATACACAATGCTTGTGCTATCTATAAATATTGTTAATATATATATTTCTATATATGTATGGGTACACACATTATAGACATAGCATGATTAATGCTTGTTGACCGACGCATTTGTTATTATTTTGTCATGCTAAAATGTCTTTGAAATCATATGTTCGTTGCTATATTTTGTTTTTATTTTTAGTCATGTACTGTGGAAAATTTTCTATAAAAAAATTGTCTGAAATTTGCGTCATTGCCTCGTGTGCACCAAAAAAATAATGAGATTTTCCTACGACGCAAATTGACAAATAAAAGCCATTTAAATAGAGTTCTTAACATTTCGTCTGGACTTTTGTCTATATGAAATTGCAGTTCGATATTCGTCACTGCTTACAAGCGAAATTTGTTAAATGTTAAATATTGAGGGCATTAAAAGCTGATAAGGCAAAAAGAAAATAAATATATAGATATAAAACGAGTATGTGAAGAACCTGAAATTAAAGATAGGTGAAGACGCTTAAAGGAATCTGTAAGAGAGAGTCCAGATTTGTTTTTTTGCTCGCTGCTTACTTAAATTATTTAATCCTAAACAAAATGCAAATTGATTTAATTAGTAGACGAAAAATTAGAACAAAATTAATTGATTAAATCGTGAAAATTCGTGCTTCGCTATGAATTTTTGGTCGCGACAAAGTGTCTGCCATGAAAATGGGGATTTGCAGGCAAAACACAGCTCTAGGCCAAGTTATTTGCATAAGTCGGTAAAAGGAAACCGGCTGACACACACACACACACAGACTTGGCCAACAAGTCAACACACGCGCCGCCATTTTGTTATGCCGCCTGATGCCCACCATTTGAGTTTTATTGTTTTTGTCTGCTAAACAGAAGAAAAAAAACCTCCCACTGGGTAGCTTTGACCCAGCTCAGTGTCAAGTGGCAAACATATCTAAATATATATATATATATATATAGAGAGAGAGAGATATATATAGTTGTATTGATGGATGAGTGTTGGAATTATGTTGATGTGTACATAAATGTCTGATGGTTGCTTACAGACACTTTGATGGTTTCTATGCCTTAGTTTTTGCTTTTGTCTAGCTACAAATTTGATTTAGTGTAATCGAAAACCATTCTTTGGGCCACAGTTTGTCGTTGTCCTTGGCCAAAAGTCTTTGCATTTTGATGTCGTAATGCACTTAGAAGCAAAAACATTTCGAATCTGGCTTCAAGTAACACCATAGAAACCAGTTTCTATCTTGAGCCAATCAGCAGCATCAGAAAAACAAAGAAATACTACTTTAGCAAATTGATTTTGTTTGATTTGTTTATAATAAATACTAATTTAGAACGCTAAAGATTTTTTGCACTTGACAACATTTTTTCATTTATACATCTATAATTATATTTATTTTAAGTCGAAAACAAATATTAGTGTGTAAAATTCTACTAATAACAAACCAGCTGCACAGCTGATTATAAAACCGGTAGAGCCTTTGTGTATTTCAAACAGGAAAGAACTACAGAGTTGAGCAAGTCGAAGAGTTAATACTCTTGTAATTGCAAAACAGAATTAAGAAAACATTAAAAAAACTAGAATGGAAGAAAAAAATGCTGTCTGAAAAAAATTAAGAAATATAAAATAATATAAATGAAAAATAAAAAAAGATAGATAAGCAGCAAAAATATAAAAATAAAATAATAAAATTTAAATAAATAAAAAATAAGAGAAATCTTAAATTAAATAAAATTTAAAAAAGAATTAAATAAAATTGTAAAAAAATTCAAAGGCATAGAAAATCAAAACTTAATTAGTTTCTATTGGATTTAAGAAGTATTAAAGAATACAAAACCCTTAAAAATTATGAAAAATTGTTTTTATATAATAAATATATTCGTATGTAATACTGTTTCACATACAAAACTTTAATGCGTACCTTCCAAATCTCCCAAAATTTGGGGTTTCCCTTTTCTTAATGGGAATCATATTGAACAACAAAACGAATACAACTTACGATAGAGAGTAATAAATTCCAGCACTCACAATGTGTGTCACTGTGAAGAGATAAACAGCTGATGGCACTGTGAATACAATACACACACACACGCACACATACTGACACACATGCGTACCTGAAAGAAGAAAATATATATATGAAAAAATCAATAAAAAACATAAACCAAAAACTGGTTCTCGGCAGCTGTGTGCAATGCATTCAAATGAGCTGCAAATGACGATGATGATGGTGATGATGATGATGATGATGACGATAATGACGCTGACGATGATGATGTGGCTGACAATGATAATGGTGTGATATACGCACCGACTTTAATAAGATTTTAATGAGACTTTAATTCTGTCCGTACAGACAAATTGAGCAGAGATTTTTCCTTTGTAGATTATTTAGAAATACCCTGCAGCTACATGCACAGCGGGTAGGCATGCACTAATTAAGTTCATTAGACTTTTGCAGTCAATGAACTGCTTAAAGGCAAACAAGTTTTAATTAGTTTTGATTTGTCTTTCAACAAATGTCGCCCGTGCTCAGATAATATCTAACAGTTTGTTATATAATCTATCAACTTATCTAATCTAATGCGTCATCAGACATCTACTACGTGAATGCGTATATAATAAATTATAATTCCCGTACAAGTTAAATATTGCATAATGATAAAAATAATAATGAGAACTTTGTTCTGGCAGATTAAACATTTATTTCAATTGTAAATATTTTACTTTGAGCTTAGAATCGTCATCAATTAGAACTTGTAAGCGATACATTTATAATTAGACCCGGAACTAATGGAAAATGGGTGTACAGGGTGTACAAGAATATATAGGGTATATAGATTGAGGAGCTGAATCTCCTTCAGTCTGTTCTCGATAGAATGATTGGCACAGCAGCACTGAGCAGAGTTCAGGGTATCAGCCAGTTGGTCACTCCCGAATAGCTCACTCTTACTTGTTATAAATATGAATTATAACTATTGCATATCAACTTTTATCAAGTTATCGCATAATAAATATTGTTGCATCATGCAATTTCTGAATTAATTGCTGCAAGTTTTCAACTTTTTTGCGACGTCGAAGGACATCGAAACACGAATTTTCCATTGCAGTTTGTTGCAGTGAAAACTTTTTCGTTAGAGCTTTCATTGGCTTATCGCGGTTGCATCGCAAGCATTTGCATAAGCTGCTTAACTGTAAAAAGCAATGAGGGTGTAAAAAAACATTTGCACAATGAATTTTTTTGTATTTTTTTTTTATTTTTTATTATTTTTTTTGCTGTTATCAGACGTGCAAAATAAGCAAAGCGTAAAATACACTTTTATACATGAAATGTCAGTGAAGGCGGAAAAACTCATAACTGAACTCATTAAAATCCAGATGTCAAATTGAGATTATATTAAATTCGTATTTTGTTAAGAGCAATCACAGAACAGGTAGAAAACACGTTTATTGTAATAAAAATTCTTTTAAGTTTTAATATTATTATTGATCAGAAGAACAAAATTTTGAAATATTTGCAGAAAAAACTTAAAACTTAAAAACTTAAAATTTTCTGCAAATATTTCAAAATGTTGTTCTTCTGATCAATAAATTTGTGTCATTTTAAATTAATTTTATAATTAGTAAACAATTTTTAATTAAGTATTAGTAATTAGTAACAAATTTTGAATTAATTTTATAATTAGTAAAACAATTTAGCAATATGTTTCAGGAACCTAACTAAAAAGGAGTCTATTTATGTGCCTCTGAGATGATGGATTCATTGTTCTACTCTAATTTACTTAAGCATGATAAAGCGCAATCTAATATGAATATATATAATGTTATAAAAGTCAGTTTTATTTGTTATGACTTCGAATTAAGAAAGATATATGAGTATACGGCTCAATTGACAGATGAGTTTGTTAGAACTTGAAGCATTATGTGTGGCATTGATGATACTGCGCTATTCTATTACACTTATATAAAAATCATAAAAAAAACATTTCCTCGTATTTATAGCCAGTTTTTAATATGACACGCTGAATGAGTGTGTCTATAGTAAAGTGAGTTTACAGATACTCACACTCACACTCACACACACAAAACCATTTACAATTTCAGCTGGTAAATTTCCACTAGCAAAGGGAAAACAAAGAGCAGCTAGTGGTTGAAAAAAAAAGGAGAGAAAAAGAAAAAAAATTAGAAAATTAAAGACATAAGCAAACAAAACAATGCCAAGATATGGAACTGAACTCCGCATCCCAAGTGGATGAAGGGAGCGACTGAAAGAGCGGGCAGTGTATAGAGTATGCAGAGAGAGGGTGAGTGTACAATGGCACGCATTCACACACATACATATATATATCTACGTATATCTTTATCAAGTGTGGATGTGTCTTGGCGAGTGTCGAGCCGCTTTGTCAGTCAGTCAGTGATACGATTTCAAGCCGCGATGTCTGCTCAACAACAGAGAAAACTTTAAGACAACAGCCTAAACTTCTTATAATAAATTGAGTTTTGCTTTGCTTCTTTACTCTCTTTCTCTTAATTTCTCCTGTACGTTTTACTTGTTTTTGCTGCGCAAACAAGGCCAATTTTATCGACATCGGATATATACTTTTGTCAAGTAAGTCAAGCAATTGAGTGTTGAAGCGCAAGCCAAGACAAAAAGATTAA